TAATAAGAGTAATTTTTATATTTTTTTTTCTGGAATTTGAACTGAATTCTCACCATTCTGTTTCCTTTAAATAAGTTATTTATTTTTATGTACCCATGGGTGAGAGGTGTGTTTAGAGCAGAACCCCCCAAGGCGGGTTTGAGAGTAGAATTCTAACAGAGGCCTCGGGGAGGGCAACCAAGGGAGGTTGCGCAAAAGATTCACTAAACCCCCTTCACCATCAGAACAGAATTGAAAATAGTTTGGTTTTTGGCCTCATTTGGATGCTATTTTTTAGATTAAATGGAATTTAAAGTTTAACAGGAATCAAAGCAAGTAAACTTGAAATTATATTTTGCATTCCCAGGGAATTATGCAAAATTGGAACTTCCACATGTGCTTGTCTTATGTTTTTATATATATAGCATTTATTTATTGCTCTTTGTTTTGTTTTGGTGAGGTTAAGTCAAAGGACTAGAAGTCAGGAGCTCTGGGTTTTATTTCTTGTATCTTAGAAAATTGCTGGAGGTCACCTTTTGTAAGTCGCTTAACCTCTCCGCTTTTCTACAAAACGGAATTTTAAGCTCAGCAGATTTTTGAAGAGTAATTCATTAATGTTTAAAAACAATGCTTTGTGCTGCTTGGCTGGCAGGTGCTAGAGAAATAGAAATTACATTTCTATTCTTGAAATACTGAAATTATCTAGTACTAGAGTTCTTGTGTTTATTCTGGTCTCCTGTAACCTGTTAAAACATAAAACTGAAGAAAAAAATGTATTTTAAAAAGCTCTTGTTTTGTAACAGCTCAGTCTTTAACTTCTGGTAATGGCTATCTCTTGTCAACAGAGTGCACATCAATTTCAAGGCAAAAGTCAAACTCTCTCATTTACATATTGTTAACTGCTCTCTCTTTTCCTGTTAAACAGGAGGAAAAAGTCATTAGATATGAGGCAGCTGTCTTATTAATGAAGGGGTGGGGTAAAATGTGAGGAACACTTCTTTTTCGGCATATACTTGTGAGCAGCTTGTTCTTCAGGACAAGGACAACTGCAGAGTACTAAGGTTTTCATGTTACTTGAGAGGCTTCTGCTTTTTTTCATCTATAAAAACTCATATTTTCATTGTCAAATATTACCAAAATGAAGAGCTGCCTTCTAGTTTCATAGTAACCAATCCCCATCAGGCCAGAGGGACCATATGAAGTAGTGTAGTTGACAATTGCCATGCATACACAGGGGGAAAAAAATCTCTGCCATGACATTCCTTTATGATTAAAACTATTACAAACAATGAATGAATTAGGGAAAAGAAAGCTAGAAGAAATCATACTGATTAGCCGAAGAACTTGGATGAAATGACATTTCTGAGACCTTTGTATTGTAAAGGATTATTTACTGTCTGCTTACAGAACATCTTAAGCCATTTTGCAGAGGGAGTCAATTTCCTGTTTAGCACAGTGTTTTTGTAAGCTAATGAGGGCAAAGCGTGAGCCATAGGCAATGATGTTGTGATATTAGCTGTGACAGGGAGCTTGATCATAATTATCTTAACGAGGATAGGGTTAATTACAGTGGAAACTTAGAGTTTTTTCTGTTTGAATGAGGCGGCACTGAATACGTTGTGATGTTTTGTCAGTTTGATGTGACTTTGGAAATTGCAATGGAAATCTCTTGGCAGCACTTGCTCTCCTCTGGGAGCAGAGTGCGAGTCCTGCAATGAGGTAGCTGAGATGGTACCTGTAGTTGAGATAATGGGCAGCTTTCCTGTCATTAGAACAGGAAAAAGCAACCTGTAATACACCTTAGTGATGTTTTATTAGCCTTTTGTAACGAGGGAAAGAAACTGCTTGCCACTGCCCCCTCAGTGCTAGTTGTATTTTGATGGTAAGGTTGTGTGATTGTCCTAATAGACCAATAAAGGGAGACATTCTTCTGCTATAAACTATGAGAAAACTGTCCAGATTTAATGTTCATCTAGTTCTCTTTCTTGGGGAATTTACCAGTTTTTATACTAGTTTCTTTGGGTGTTTTTGTGCTCCTTGCTGTGCTGTGTGCATATATGCGCTCCTCTTTTGTAATGGAAATACTGGGAGTACATCAGCTTCTCAAAAGGGCTTTAGGTAAACTAAGTCAGGATTGGAATTCTTTCTAATCCTCCATCTGTAGATGGGAAATTGAGGCACATAGGAGTTATGTGACTTGCTGAAGTTTGTATTGTGAAACCTATTGTGTGGATTGTACTTAAAATTTTTAAATTGTGGAGTACAATTGCTGGGAAATGGTAGTGATTGCTTCCTTGAATTTAGTAGCTAGTATGACTGAATGATAGCAAACACATTTTTTCCTGTTTTGTTTCTTTACCGTCTTGGATGTAAATTTATGTTAATAGCTACACCCTCTCTCTGTACTTTGGCAACCCCTCCCATCTCCCTGTACTCTGCATTTAGGTGATTAAATCACCACGTGCACACTGCTCTGATGACATGAAAACAACAATTAATAAGCAACCCCCTGTGTAACATGGCTCTTTTTTAATTGAGAAGCTAATAACATTACATGGCAAAAATTATCAAAACCAGACAGGTGTAAGGAGGTTTGCACGTGATTTTCTCTGCCTATCTGTGAAGCTAGTAACCTTGTGTTCAGCCTAGGCTTGTGAAAGAAAAGCTGTTGCAATAGGCAACTCCCTCTAGTGTTTCAAGGCCTTTTGTCCCACTTCATGGCTTGTCATTTTGTTTTATGCCTCCCCTGCAGCAGTTTTGGATGTGGCTTTCTTCTTCTTGCCAGTTGCCAACCATTTGCTGATTCTCATGATATGAGTATTATATTTGCATAACATAACTCAGGAACAATGTGTATTTTGATGCTGACACTGACCAGAGCCCAAGCACTGTTTTTTTCACAAAGGACCTATTAACATCCTGTAAGGCTCTGTGGTGTTGACAAGGAGGTGGCCTTCTCTGAACTCCTGTGGGAAGTCAAAGTCTTACACTGAAATGTGAGGTTTGGAAATAATCCACTCTTTATATAATAAAGAGTATTTAAGGGGAATTTGTTAAACTAGGTTTGTCAAACTGAAATGAAAACTCCGAACAGCTTGATAAACTCACTGCTACTTCCTCTGGGTTATTTTGCCTTGTAAAGGTACCTGGGGGAAAACACTGTCTGAAATGTTTGCTGATCTCTCTTCTGATCTTGACTGGCAAAATCAAAGTCTGTTGTGACCCTTTGCTGAAAAAACTTGCTCAGTATAGTGTACTAGCACAGCTCTTAACAGTTCACTTTTTATGTAGGCTGCATCAAGTTTTTCCAAAACAGTTTGTTAGAGGAAAGTGCAAAAAAAGTGACTCTTATTGTGGTGGTTGTTTTAGTATAATGTTTGCAATAGAGGCTTTTGTTCTTTTAACCTGAGAAATTGTTGTCTCAGTATATTGTAATGATAGGGTGTAGACGTGGCAAACTTTAAGTTCTGGCTGTCCAGAATCAAAATGGCATTAGTAATAGTAGCACCTCCCTTTCAGACTAAGTTGGCAGATTGTGAGCACTTTGGAGTCCTTGGACTGAAATACACTGTTTGCACGTTGTGCAAATGTCACTTGAATATTCATAGTTCAGTGTATATTACTCGGTGTAAAGGCTTGATTGCTTTTAATTCTTTGAAACCTCTAACTGTGTTTTATAAGTGGTAAGTTGTAGCTGCAAAAGCAGTTTATAGTTTTTGTTGAACAGATTAATGTTAAATTGTCTAATTTGAAACCTGTATACTTTCTGATGATATTTATATTTTTTCTGAAACAGTACTGCTTGTAGAACTCTCTAACAAGGACCTTGTCTGTATTTCGACCCTTGCTAAAAACTGGGGGGAGAATGAGGAAATTCCCTCAGTATAAATGTCATTGGAAACTGAATAAATAGTAAAGGCTGCATCTCCCTTATACATCACATTTTATAAAACAGCCAGGAGATACAGTGATGATCTTCCCAACGGTAGGCATAGTAGATCAGCTGTCAAGTCGTGCAATCTCAGCATATCTTTAGGTGTCTGGTAGGTGAATGAGCTGTGAATGCATGTCTGTGCGTATGCTCCATATACTGTGTGTCTTAGTTGATTAATGTGGTTTAGGTTTTTTCCCCTGCTGGAATGTGCAAGCATTAAGAATGAAGTTTGGAATAGATGCCTTAACAAGGTACCAAAGTGTTCTTTTTAGTTTTTGGTTTTGTGGTGTTTGTTGGTTTTTTTCTTCCTCCCCTCCCCACTTTACTATTAGGAGAATGAGTACCTCCAGAATCTTGTCTATTTACGAGCCATCATCTGCACTTCCATGTTCTGAAATGCTCCTTTTTAAAGCTGCTCTCTGCAGTCTGAACTGCAGCTTAATGGTGGGACAGTAAGTTCCAAAAAGAAAGCAAATGCCTTTTCTGTCTGTAGTAATTTTCCATTTTATTTTGTAGAGTACATTTTATTTTGTTTGTAGGGACTCAAGAAGCAAATTAGGTGGTTAATAAAAAGTAAAAATAAAATTCCTTTTTCCATTTCCTATTATTGCACGTAAAGTAACTGCTAAAAAATGATATTTGAAGTTGTATTTGTTATTGTTAGCAGGGTATGATATTTCTTGGCAGAAATGATGGATGACAAGTTAAATTTGTGTCCAGGGAATGAAGGTGAACTGTGACAGAGTTATTTATCTTGGGAATGGAGGTTAGGGTCAGGCAAGGCTGGGTGCCTGAAGGCACAAGACATTGACAAATTCATCCTGCAGGCCCCATATCTGAAGCCTTTTGTTTTGGATCCTGGCTACTCACTAAGTGACCCTCATCCTTCATCCTGCCAGCATGTGAAGGATGTGTTGCAGTGCCAGCACTCCCCTTGCCACTAGTGCTTGTCATTCACTCTTCTGACAGGCCCAAACCCAAACTATTCCCACTCCTGAAAGGGAAGGTTAAAATATTTATTTCAGCTCATAATGGCCTCCCTGATTTAGTAGAGAATCATTTTTCCTGTTGCCTTTGTCGTTCGCAGGTCACTAGAAGGACTGAAAACATTCAGTTACTTGGAAGAGCTGATCTTGGACAACAATCAACTTGGAAATGACCTTGTGTTACCCAGGTTACCCCACCTCCATACCTTAACGCTCAACAAGAACCAAATATCCTTTCAAAGAAATACCTTCAAAATGTCAAATGAGTTTTATGTGTCAGCCAAATTAAAGTATATGAAATACAGTTCATGTGCAGACAAAGCGTTCTCTCGTTTGGCACCTGGAATACTTCATAGTAATTTATTATAGGTCATTCATAAATGAAATGCGCCATTATATCTTCCTGTTGCTCCATTTTAGTGAGAGATCTAAGTTATGGTTCTGAAGAAAGCTTTCTAATAGATAAAATAGCGAAAGAAAATAATGTCAGAGCTACCAGTGAGCAGCAGTTCCTGTTTTTGCTTGGGGTTCTGTTGCAGGCTGACCTCTAGTGGAATAAGGAGTGCAGTGAAATGCTATTAAGATTTTATACTTTAAATAGCTCTTAAAACATTACAGTGAAATAAAATTGAAAACCAGCCAAACAAAAACAAAACCAAGAAATGTAATACCTTTCTCTGTTTTTATGAAGTTGGTAATGTGCATAATTTTGTAGCTATGTACAACTGCAGCTGAAAAGCAAGTCACTGTATTGTCAGTGTTCAAACGCTGTATAAATTCAAATAAAGTGCTGTCCAAATCAAGGTACATTAATGTATTTAGATGGATAGTTCAGTCCATTCATAACCAGTCAATCACTTCTCCATATGCCTGAAGTTAATGCATGCTTAAGTTTATTCAGAATAAATATTTCAGCATTTGCTGAAGTATTGTGCTAAATCAGAGCCCCTAATATGTAGGGCTTATAGACAGTGGCCTGTAAAAATGCAGGATCTGCAAGGGCTGGGCACGGACTTTACTATGAAATAATTTTTTCCATACTTTGACCCTCTTGGAGTTTTGAAGAGGCGTAATATATGGTTTTACAAAAGTGAAATGCGATCAAATTATGGCCAAAAGGCCAACTGAAGCCTGCAGAGTCTTAGAGCACAGACCATGAAAGCTCTTTCCTCATAATTGTAGCATGAGGACAAGGCTGCTCAACTACAGGCTTTTGTTGCAGACAATGTAAACAAGGATGAATTTATGTCCTACGAAGGCAAAATCCTCCTAGAGAGGAGAATAAAAATAACTGCAGATTCTATTATTTTTTTGCACTTATTTTTTACTCTATAAATAACTAAAAATCACCAGAATAACTTTTATTTTTAGGGCCCTGTTTATTTTCGAAAAGTGTCTCTTGAGCAGTAACAATCATTACTGTATTAGTTATTTGGTTAGATTTCTGGTTGATGCTTGGATTCTGTGCATTGGATTTGAGTAACTGGTTTTATTGTTTGCTGCCACGGTAAAATCTGAACTGGACATGCGCTGATGAAGATAGTACAAGAAAACTTTTGCCAATACTATGGGTGGAAGTATGTCTGGTGTGACATGCCTTTTTCTACAGGCGTGAAATGTAAATTTGGCTTGTAAGACCCAAAAGCATGTGAGTGTATTTGTCCTTTGAGGAGAGGCCAAGGAAGAGTTTTGCACTTACCAGAATGAGAGCAGGTGTATTGAATAAGAATTCAGTGAACAAAGTCAGAGGAAAAAACCTTATCTTGTCAGTAGTATTCTTTAAAGAGTTTCTGCTTGTCTTGGAGACAATTAAAATACTGCTCTCAAAGTCAATGATAACATGAGAAGAAGGATTCGATCTATCTGGGGATTTTTTAAATTCAATCTTAAAACCATGAAGCTAGAGCTTTAAGAATATTGAGTTTCTCAGGTTATAGAAACAATGTAAACATTTTGTAATGTGATGCCTATAATTTAATAGAGGAGTTGCAGAAATGCCCATAAAACATCTAGTGTACACAAACTACCTAGAGGAGAAAAAATAACCACCATCCATCATTAACATTTTAAGCTCTAAAGGAGTAGTTATTTCTTGTAGGGAACATAAAGCAGTATTCTGAAAGCTTAGAGACCTTCCAGATTCCTCTCTTCAGTGTGAACGCCATCTTTGAAAAAGGTTTCTCTTGAACTTGATTCACTTCTTTTAATGAATGGTTTATCAATATAATTATTTTTAAATGTTCAAATAAAAATATACTTTTAATAAAGTAATGAAATACATTACAGGCAAGATTGTTTAGTATATGACAGTAGCACTGCAGAAGGGACACAAGTGAGCAAAGAAACAAAACTTCAATTGGTGGAATATTACCATGTATACATAGAATCATAGAATGGTTTGGGTTGGAAAGAACATGTAAAATCATCTAGTTCCAACCCCCCTGCATGGGCAGGGACACTTCCAACTAGACCAGGTTGCTCAAAGCTCCATCCAACCGGGCCTTGAACACCTCCAGGGAGGGGACATCCACACCTCCTCTGGGCAACCTGTTCCAGTGTCTTAAATGAGAGAGAGAAATATGAAAAAAACAAAACAAACAAACCAACCAACCCAAAAAGACTAACTGCCCCCTGTTAAAACTGGAATAACATGTAAACTTTAAAACGTATGTGAGAGCTTTCCTGAGTATCTTTTAATATTGCTATACTCTTTGCTATTTCTCTCCTTTTATTTTGGCTTTATTTTGGTCCAAGTCCTGTTTCCATAGCTCTGATAAGACCTTTCTACTCCTTTTACATGGTTTGCTACTTATGTGGAATTGTATGTGTAAACAACATTTAGCCCCTCCTAACATAATGCCTAGATACACTGTAGACATGGGAAAACTGATGTCTAAATTGCATAAATACTTAGAAGAATCATCCAGTATTTTTTTTCTCCAAACGGTGATTGTGTATTTTGGCTACAGTTACACCACTACCAGTTTTTCTGCTAGAAGTGGAAAAGCAAATTTAAATATTACTATTTCACAAATAGTTTCCTAGTGTTATACCTCAACTTTTCTGTAACGTGTAATCTGTTAAAATATTTAAAAATACAGTCTATATAGCTGAAATACAGAAAGGACAGTTATCAACATAGTGCAGTATTGGATTAGTATCTGTAACATACTTGTTAATGTGTATGTTTGTTTTTACAGAAGTCTTATTTACTTTGGGAGAATATACAGTCTTAGTTTCTCTATAAGACACAATGAATGCAGAAAGCAATACAGATTAAGAAGGATGGGTGGTGGGTAGGAAGTTGGTGTTGGAGGAGGACTCATGACTGCAATCACATATTCTTATAATGGGAAGCCTCATTTCCCATTATAAGTGTGTTCATTCAATTCTAATAATCAGTCTGGAAATTTCTTAAATAGACTTATTCCTCTTTGTGTTAGAGCAGTGTGAGGCTTCATGGCTTTTCATTGTGCTGATGATCATGGCTGGTGCTACAGTGAACTATATACTATAGACATATAGATTTCCTTTACATTTCAATCTTTTAAAATATTTTTAAAAACTACTCAAAAGGGCAGCAGTGCTAGTTTGTCAAATATATGTACTTCTGTGCTAACACTGAGGTGGTATTTACTGCCTCACTTCAAAATAGACAAATCTGGTAATGAACCAAATCTGTAACTCTCTGAAGTAAAAGCCCTGTTTCTTAGTCCAGTGAACTGGTCATCCATTTAACATATGTTTTGTGTACTTTTGAAGAACAGACACCAAAATTGATTTAGAAACAAGATGTTCAATGTAGAACGCAGGTATTGAATCAAGATCTAGGGTTTGAATGGTTTAAAGAAAATCAAAATTTTTCACATCATAGAATGGGAAACTTAGAGATAATCAGAATGCCTATAATGGTATATGCATTACATATGGCAAGAGGAGTTATTGGTGTGGTTTACATCTAAGGATTTGATGTTCTTGAGTGTTTGAAAACAGCTGGATTGAGTACCTTGACTGAATAATGTACCAATAAGTTCTTCTGGTATAATGTGTCTTCACAGAGGTCTTATCATAATGTCTAACAGTTACATATTTGTTTAATCCCCAAAGTGTAGATTGTAATTTATTTTGCCTTTGTTTTTCTTCCTACATGGTCCTGAAGTACTTCAAGACCTAGAAGTCCCAGTCTGACCCAGAATCCTATTACATTAAGTGCTGAGGACCTGTTCTTTAAAATGAGTGAATATATTGAAGACATAAAATGTCTCCTATTTTGCACAAGTATATATCTCTGCTAAAAAAAGCTCTAAGGTGAAATGGTACAGCAGCTTTCCTGCAGGTACTTCTGAGCTCTCTATGCCACGGTTGTAGATTAGGCTAAATCCAAATGTGGCTTGTTAGAGAACTACTGTACTTGATGAGCCAAAGATCTTTCTCCCAGAAAGTGTACCTGGAGTGAAAATTCTATAAATACCTAAGGCCAAACATCCATAGAAGAGGGAGGTAGTCTTCGGTCCAGGCAATTCCTTATCCTGTTCTACAGCAGTGCTTGGGCCAGTTGAACTCCAGATGTAAGAACTTTTTAAAAAATGGTGACTTGCTTTATTCTTGGTTGTCTTTGTGTTGCAGAACCTTGAGCAGTATTTGGAGAGAATATTGTTTTTAAAAAAATCATCCTAACAAAAAAAAACAAACTTTGGAAGAGAGGACATATGATTTCAGGCTGGACCTCTCTAGAGAGCCAGAAATACAATTTTATTGCAGGAATAGATATGTTCTCCTTTTTCTTGCTTTATTATGCTCAACAACATTGAAACCTGGTCTACAAGTCTTCAGCCTTAGAACTGTAGGTTTTCTGAAATACCCTTAAAAGCACTGGCAAGTCCAGCTACACAGAAAAAAACTGCTGCTCTAGTGAGCAGAACAGGACTTTTTTTCCTGAGTGTGCAGGAAGCTCTCCATGAGATGTATGAACTTAGTTAATTGCAACCTGTGCTGCATCTTTTCTTTCTTGAGCAAGATGGCTTTAAAGTTAGTGAACAAGGCCATGTCTCAAGGCCCTATCTCCCCACCAGATAGAGTTCAGGCTAGAGCATGGCATACAAATGACTGTGCATGACATCCGTGCGTGTACATAGAGAAGGGGAAGATGTATACTGGTGTATTGCAAGCTATTTCTGTGGTCATCCAACCTTAAAGACCTAGCACATTCTGATGGAAAAGCATTCAGGTGGCAAAGGTCTTTTCACACTGCATTCAGAGGAGAATTGGTAACTTCTGAGGAATAGCTTGTAATTGCTACATTGTGTTTGTGAAACATTTAATTGAATAAAATGTTTCAAAGGGGAATAAATGTAGGTACCTTGTTCTCTTAGGACTCTATTAGAAATGCTATCCAGCTGTTTTAATGTTAAATTGATTTCAGCACCTGCATGACAGATGGTTAGTTGGCAGAAGACTTGTGAATGACAGTTTTGGATCTTCCCACATGGTGGTCTAGAATTCCATGTGATATTTATGATATTCTCTATGTATGTATTTCAGAAATACTTTTATTGCAAAGTTGATCGCTCTTTACTTTTTCTCTTTGCTTCCAAGAACTTCCAAAAGCTGTTATCACAGAAGGTCAGGAGCACAAAAACCTCTCCTGCTAGTCTTTTGGGGAAGTGGGATGGCTAAAAGTTTTAAAAGTCTAGGTATAAAGTTTTTGAAGGGAAATGATGAAGCAAATTCAAAAGCACTGAGACAGGTTAACAAGAGTGGTTACTTTTCTTATCAAGTCAATGTGTTTGAGTACATGTCTACTAGTGAAAAGAAGTGCTGGCAAAGAAAAAGGTTACAGGAAGATATTCCAGGTTACCTTGCCTATTTCAAACTACATGCAAAGAATAATTGAGCAATGAGATAGGAAATATGTATAGGTTAGTTTGCTTGGACAGTTATATGTTAGCATAGCATTTGCGGAGAGTTATATAGAATAATTTTATTTAGAAACTGTTAGCAAAGGTTGTGCTTCTGCTTAGGTTTGACCTGCAGTTGTCCCTGAAGAACAACCATGAATATGCCTTCCAGTAAGGAAAGAAATAGCATGGAGTTTGAGGGTGACCAGCAGCAGTCCTTGGTACTAAAAATAGCTGAACCTTCATGTTACTGTCTATAAAGGATTAATGTAGCATCTGTGCCTTGGAAATATGCTGGGGAAACAGTTAAAGAGACTTTTGAGAATGCAGAGGTTTGGAATAGTGGAACACATGCGACACCATCCAGTACTTTCTGTGTGAATTCACACAACCTCTCAGAAGTATAACATGCCTAGCTAAAGAAGAGAGATGCATAATTTACATTAGGCTTTTGCTTGTTCTTTTTGCCTTCTGGAGAACCTCAAAAACTGTTATGTAAGTACCAGACAATGAGTGAAATAGGTGAGTAAGAACACATTCATTTGTATAATATTTTTGGATGCAGAAAACTTAAAAAAAATAATTAAAAAAAAAAAAAAATTGCTCTGCAGCTTAAATGGACCCACCAGGATACTGTGTTTTCCAAGTACTAATATTGCTAGTTGCCTCAGTGTTTCTGATAGCATTTGTTTTTCTGAACAGGAAGTATGGTGACATGGTTGTGTATATTTGTGTGTGTGTATACTCTGAACAGTCTACTGTAAATATGTCTGTGTGGTATACACACATGTAACATAATGAAGAGATTTAAAACAGTTAATCAGAGTATAAAAGATACCCAGTTCTTTTAAATGGTTCTCTAATTTAAAACTAGAAATAGTGCAAGAAGTCAGTATATTCTTTTGCTGAGGATCACTTTTTAAAGTATTTCTAGTATGACTTTATAATTTTTTTATGGAGGCCAGGTTGTGTTTCTGGAGGGTACTATTGTATAATTGCTGAGAGTTAGTATTTTAGCTTGTAAGCTAAAGAGCTGAGGAGTTCAAAATTTTTACTGTTGCAAATTTTAATTTTAGTCAACGTCTGTTAAGGAAAATTAAATAGATTGGCAATGATGACACTGTTGAATTAGGAGATAGATCACTACAGTAAGGCACTTAAGTAACAATTTAGTTTTCAAGTAACAGACTAGTGCAGGCATTTGCATCGCTGCTACATATTCACCTGGTGACCAGTGACACTGACTTCAGAAAGATCAGTTATGGGATGTTGTCACAGACCTTTTAATAAATAAATACATAAAAATATTTTCACTAGCATCATCCATGGGTTTGTTTGTGACTTGCTTTTTGGATGAAATGGAACTGAAATTGGTCTTAGAAATGGGATAACATGATTTTGCAGCTCTTTGACTCTGATTCCACCAATATGTCACTCCTTAGGCTGTAACAATAAACCATAAATAGGAAGCTGGCGATAAAATTTCAGACTTGATTTTGATTTCTACCTCTGTATTTTGCTAGCATTTTTTTAGAAGGACTTTACACTTTTGGTGGCATTGTATAGTTCCAGTACTGTGAATAAAATAAGTATATGACATGCTGATTAACTAAACAGTGCACTAGAAGTGCACCATGACATATGACTCATCTCCAGGAAACACTTAATCATGAAAATTTGAACAGGATATTATTTCTTTTTTCTTATATGCTTTGTAAAGAATAACTGTGATTGCAGCTGGATGGAGCTTCCTGGTAAAAAGAATCTGTGCCTTGCATTTTGTTGCTAAGAAGGATGAGAAAAGATAGTTAAAGTTATAAAGATCAAAAATGTTAGTAATTTTATTTATGATGTAACTGCTGATTCTGGCACAAAAAAAAAGTTTGTTATTGTGGTTTGTTCTCAAGTGCTTCTTATGTCCTGCAATTTTTGTGCTATCCACGCCTGCAAAGCTTTAACCTTTCTGTGAATTACTGACCTTCTACTTTAGTCATCCCTGACTAGGATGATTTTTAGGAGGATGTTTCTAAAATCAATATTTGGAGTTTAGATATGAGATATCAGAATCTAGATGGTAATTTTAAAATTTGAGGACATTTAGATTTTTTTTCATACAGATTATCAACTACTGTTATTACCCAAAACTCTTACTGAATTTGGGGTCTCTCCCTTCTGCTTTCCATAGGACTTTGATGCATAATCTTTCACTTGTTGCAAATCTAAGCTAACACTGCTCTTCATCATTACATATCTAAATACATTTTGATATTTGCCCCTAAGTCTGCATGTTCAGATGGGAGCTAATATGCGTGTCATACTCCACGTTCTACAAATTGTAGAGGAGAAAAGCTTCTATCCTAGAAGCAACTCTACTGAGTTTACAAGGAAAATTCTGCATGTTTACTCCACAGAAGCAGCAAAAAGTGCAGGGCTTTTTTTTTTTTTTTTTTTTCCCCCCCTTTTCAATAGAAAATCACCAGATACAATCTAAGCCTTGCGATGGCTAACCCCTTGTGTGTGATTGCTGTTATGGAAATAACTGTCTTTTGTAATAATAAATTATTTCTCTCAGGGAAGCTTTTTGCAATGTAAGCAATCCTGCAAGAAATTAAGTGTTTCTCTTGGATGAAGGTGAGTGCCAGATTCAAGCACTTCTCTGACTAACAGTCTCAGGAATTTTCTAAAACCCTTTCACTTGAACATGTGTAAAAAAAAAACAGTTTGTGACCTTCCCATCACAGTCAAATACTTCCTGAAAGAGCCATGAAAAAGTTGATGTATGAGCTGGAGCTCCAGATCCAAGAAGATGAGAATTATCATCACATTTTGATTAGGAATTCATCCTGGCTAACAAAGAAGATGTATATCATATAGCCCTACAAAAAGACAATTTTTCTTAGGGTCTTGATGATGACTTGCTGGCATATAACATTCTATAATGTGGCTTTGCCAAATTAAAAGTTAGCATTCTTACCTTTTGGATTCATTTGTAGAAGTACTTTCAAACCCTCTTTTTTTTTGCTCATGCAAAATATTTTTGTGATTCATCAGGCCCTATCGGGCAGAACATTAACTGTGAGTGCAAATAAATTTATTTTACTATATTATAATTAGCAGTTGTAAGCATGATCTTCACATGTGTTTGGAAATAAAATTTCAGGCATACCAAACAAAAACCGTATTTATAACAAAGAAGCTGCTCTTTCCATTCTGTATTGCTTTTGTTGCCCTTAAGATACTGAGATGAAGAAATAAAGTTATTTCTATCAGTTATAAATAACAAAGTTAGCAGAGGAGCATACATCAAGTATAAATAATAGCCACACAATTGAACTGAAGAATTAAAGCAATAGTTCTGGTTTCATAACAGCAGGAGTGGATAAAAACTGAGCGAGGAAATGCCTATTAATGGTTTTAAATAATTAGTACTGTTGTCTAAATCACTAAGTTATTAAATATTGAAAACTCTTTACATGAGTATGCATGACATCTTATAAGAATGTATAGTTTGAGTCTTAGAGAATGTCACACTGTACTTGAACAAAATAATTTGCTTTATTTTATTAAGAGGGTGCAAATGGTCAAATATTGTTGTTTCTTTTAAACTTAAGCTGTGATTTCTAATATTGCAGTGGTTAAAATCTTAACCGTTGTTTGTTTTAATGTAGTTTACAATACTGAAGGTGTATGATAATTATGTTTTGAGAAATATGTTTAAGTTAAAAACCCTCATTAATATCAAAACAACAAGGTTATTTTAATGAAAAACTACTTGTAATACTCAAGTCTGTAAGTTGTACTTAGTGACTTAGTGAAGCAATAGTTTGCATATACTAATTGAGTCATTCTAAATGTGTTGCTGTGTCACTCAAAACATTTATATGCTGGGAGTGAAAGTGGGTTGTGGTTTGACTTTTATTTTTTTAGAAACTTATTTTTCAGTGGACTAAATATATTAGTGATGAATGTGCTGTGAACTGTTTGTTTCCATGCTGGAAAAGTTTCATGACTCCAACAAGTGCTAGCCATTTTACCACACAGCATCCATCATTTTGTCAAAGTTTTAATGTTTTGTAGTAAGCCACCTAGGAAAGAAAGGAGGAGAGAAGAATGATAGAACAGACAAATTCTTTTATTCCATGCCAAAAACCTGACTGAAATATATCCCTGTTTGCCCTTGGAACAATTAATATGACATTTTCCCGAATGCCGTACTAAATTTGATTGTCAGTTATTGAAATATATGTTTAAATCAGCAGTGATGCTGCTCTAAATGCTTTTTTCATTAATGTAATTGAATCCTTAACCCACAACCTTTGACACATAACAGAACTGGAAAGCCTTTTGGACCATTTGGCTGAAGTTGTACCCTCTCTACAGTATCTCAGTTTGCTTGGAAACATGGCCTGCCCAAATGAACTTGTCTGCAAAGAAAAGGATGAAGATGACTACCAGAGGTACAGGTTAGTGTTTTCACTTGTACATATAAGTTTTGTCGGTTTTGGTTTATTACTAGGAAAATATTGAACTTAAACCAACCCAGAGTCTCAAACAAATACTTGTTCTATTCTGAAAGCATTGGGGCATATTCTGCCATATTCACATGGAAATTTGAGTAACCCCATTTCAGTGAGATCACTCTTGGGAACCCTATTTCAAGAAGCATTTAAATGCTGTAGAGCACGTGTTTGAGTTGGGCAGGTTTGCACAGAATTTCCTGAATATGAGTGCTCGTGTACCTACTGAAGGACTTTGCTTCTCCAAGGCCAAGGTAAGGCAACAATTTACATATACTAAAGGTGTAAAAAAAAAATTAAAAAATCACTGTACTCTGTTTCATTGTTTTCTGCTAATATTATGGTGATGAGTTTCTTCTACTATCGTTATCAAGGCATGATTAAAGAACACAGAAAAATACTATTCTATATTGTGCTTCTCAGAGCAGTTAGTGTTTAGATTCAAATAAAACCCCTCTAATTATCCCCATAATCCTAATGAGCTAGATTACACAAAAGGTCATCTGGATATTAGTATGGAAGCCTGATAAAATGCTATATGTCCAACTGACACAACTGAAATGCTGCTAAAATTACAGGGGTTATTAAAAAAAAAAAAAGTGATTGGTGATGACAGTGTAGATTCAAAATCTGTGCACTATCTGCTGGAGTGACGTAATTTTCATAGCTGTAATCTTTAGGTAAGGGAGACATTGATTATAAAAAATATAAGAAAAAAAGGTAATTGGATTTCTGTTTCCTTACTCACTACTGATACAAGATTTTTTTCTTTATGTAATCCAAAATCTGCTGTTCGAATTAGTATAAAACAATGCAAAGTGTGGTAGAGATTAAAAGCATGTTTATTGGGAAGTGGCATGAATTTGCACCTGTTTATTACTGGGAAATACTATTGATTGAAACAGCAGCACAGCTGTCCTGGGTGTGCATATACTTTTTCCTTTGTTCTGAATTTTTGAAAAGTATTTCTAGGCTATCATTAGCCCAAAGACTTTTACATTCTAATGATTCAACTTTTGAATCCAGCTTAATTGTAGGGTTTTGGTTTTTCACAAAGTAGAGCATCTTAGATTTAATAAAATATTTTCCCATTGCTTTCACACCTAAGTGGAAGTTATGCCTACTATCCAGCTTATGAGAGTCCAATAGTGCTGTCTCTATGTAAATTGATGTGGTATTTGCACTAGAGAATTGCTTAAAAAATGAATGATATTTCTACAGTTTACTGTTTTTCACTTTAAGTATGTTTTCTGACAATATGTTTCCTATTAATCATTTAAGCAAAAGTAGTATGTTAAAGGAGCCATTCAGAGGCAAGAACCCATGGTTCATTTAGTGCTGTCTGAAAAACTTCTTTATTGATTGACAACCTCTGTGGTTATGTGATGTAATATTTATAATATGTCACACAGCCATACATCAAAACAAGCGTGTCTGTTGTTTCATTTCAATGCAAAAGCGTTGATTTCAGGGAGGTCAAGGTAGTTTTAGGTCACATCCTGACAAACCACTGTGTCAAAGTGTAAAGTGATTGTGTTTATTCATTTGCTGGAAACAGCAACATTGCTTCTATTTTTTTTCCCCTCAGTTTTTAAAAAAAAACCTAGGTCATTTTTCCCATACTAACTAGGTTAATTAAAGCTCTCTTAAGAAAGAAGGATGGACTTCCAATTAGTTGAATGACTTATTGTTCTGCTCCTATAATGGAATCTTCCTGATCTGTTTTGATAATTATTTGTTACATTGTACGGTATGTGCGACAACACTGGGCTTATAAACCAAAAGCATGCAAGCATACATCCATCCATCTGTCTATTTTTAGGGGAATATATTTACCTACCTGGTGGAAAGGATTAAAAGTACTCTGCCAATTTTACTCTTAATAGCTAATTCAGAGTTTTGAGTACACATTCTGAAGCATCTGGGACAACACTTTTTTCTTCATTACCCAAAATTTGCAGATTTCTCTCTCAGATTTAACAGTAGCAAGCTCTCCTGAGAGAGAGAATATTTGTATTTTATTAAATGTATTGCTAAAATCTCAAAAGCAAGCATTTGAAATGGCAAATTTCAGCATTTTTATTGTTTTGAAGTATTTGTCACACAGCATGAAAAGATTGTGTTTCAATGAACTCGAATTATGTAAACATTTTGTGTTACAATAAATTTTAACTAGTTGTATTTTATTCTGAATAAGAACTTCCTTTTGTAAATTTTTGCAGTAGCCATTGGAACCACAGCTTCATTTTTCATTGAACTTTAATTTCATTCCTACTGAGTTCAATTAGAGTTCAAGCTATTTAATTCCTCAGCCAGAAAGAGAAAGGTGCTAGAAATCAAAGCTTTACTTAATCTTTTCATTTCAACTAACTGAAAAGATCTGTAAAACCCCCAAAGTCTCAACCTTAAAAATAATGGGGAAAATGAAGTTTTTAAAAACTCAAGGTCCAGTGATTTAATGTTGCATTAGTAACAGGACACAAAGTTTACATGTTTTAAAATAATTAGGTTTTATCATAATTACTTGGCAAATGGATAAAACTATAATTATATATCAAGAAGTTAAAATCTAGTTCCTCGGCTATTCCATTGGTATACCATTTCAGTACTAAAGTTTTCCCATAGTTTTTTGTTAAGAATAGGTTTTATACAAAACCATTGCTGTGACTTTTTCTCAAAGTAATTATTTTTTTTTCTAAGAAACTTAGTAACATTTGACTTGGATATTTTTTTGGAAATGTTATTCCTCCTTACCTTTCAGATGTGTAACAGAACAAATTGATGAAAACCTTTCTGTGTCTGTTACTGGAATTTTTTCTTGAAAAGAAAAAGAAATTGGAAAGTTCCCTTCTGGAGTTATTTTATAAGAAAACTTTTTTGGTTAATTTAAAAAACTCATCTTTTTTTCCATCATTGTAAAATGTCTTCAGTTTATTTCTGTAAAATTAAAAAGTATTCTATGTTCTTACTTTTTATCTTATTTTTAAGCTTTCCATATTTGGGAGATAATATTTTGTAAAGGGATGTCCTGGGGGTGAGTGTAAGGAAAAGCAGAATAACTAAAATATGATGGTAATAGGAAAGTTTTAAAAGCTTTTGGCTCAAACAGGAAGCTAGAAACAGAGAAAAATAGCTTGCAAAACAGTGTGTCCTCTAAAATAACCCATCCTGCAATCTCTGCTTTGAAGATTGCGTGAAAGCAAAGGTCATGACCTGGAGATCAAAGTAACAGAAGTCAACACAGTAATTGCTGGTTGCTTCTCTTGTACCCACACTTGGTCTGTCCTGTGGGTGTATTGTTTGCAGTGAAAACTTCAAACGTGGTGTTACTGAACTGTGAAAAATCTTCTGGGTCAGAATGTATTACAAAGCATTTGTGAATGCTGCAGGTGACCTCACCTATTCTCATTAAAGCAATATGGTTGTGAAGGATGTATGCTATGTGTGAAGTTTTCAGTGCTTGTTCACTCTTCTTTGCTCCTTATTGACATTTCCTAGAATGATACATTCATTAAATGCTGTTGACATGGAAACAAGGGCAAGTGGAAACAAATGCCTGAGTTTATTTTAAATTAGCTTAAAAGTACATAAATGAGATATGCTATCTTTGGGGAGGAGAGGGCACAAATGGTGATAACCTTATGAAGTCTTCTAACAATAAAACAGCAAGAAAGGAAGTGCATGTGTTTTGTATGGATTAACTTTTCAAGCTAAATTAGCAATTCCCATCCTGCAGGTTTGATTCTGTGAAATGCTGGATCTTCTCTTCAGCATTTTCAGTTTTCTTACAGTTTTGTTTTCTCTTATTGTGGTTCTGGGTTTTAGTTAGTATTTTGGGTTTCTAGTGCATGTGTTTTGTATGGATTAACTTTTCAAGCTAAATTAGCAATTCCCATCCTGCAGGTTTGATTCTGTGAAATGCTGGATCTTCTCTTCAGCATTTTCAGTTTTCTTACAGTTTTGTTTTCTCTTATTGTGGTTCTGGGTTTTAGTTAGTATTTTGGGTTTCTTTTGGTTGATGTAGGTTGTTTGTTTTTTTTTGGTGTTTGGTTTGCTGGGTTTGGGGTTTTTTTGTGGTTTGTTTTTTCTTTAGTTGTTTGTTTTTAAATTTGAGACAGAACCTACTCATCTATTTTAATTAATCTTTTTATTGAATTTGGATGGTAATACATAAATATATATTCAAGAAGCAATAGGATACTTGAAGTCTTTGCGTAATAATTAAAATAATATACTAATATACTTGGTATCAGCAAACTTGCTGTTGAGACTCTCTTAGCAGGAGGAATTGCAGTTTGTGGTACTTCTGTATATGTTTTTTATGTGCTTAATGAGATGATGAGGGTATTTTCTTACAGTTGTATGATCTAGGAATCTGTGCAACTTCACTGTTTGCATGAGTCCTTGTTATTTCTACAGTACCTGGAAGAAAAAAGCCCTGTATTTGATAGACATCAAATAGCCACACAACATCCATCTGCAATTAGCCACTATATGTGGTTATGAACAAGAGCTAGTATGTTTATGTTCAGCCAAATGAATTGAAGTCTGTAATACCCAGTTTGTCCATATTAAAAACAGTGAGTCAAGATGTAACTATAATTATTGTTATATGTGTAGGGAGATATTTTTCTAATTCAGAGTTTTTTGCTACATTAAGTGGAGCAGAGGATGTTGAAGTATTAGGAAGAGTTCTGGATTTCTGAGTAACTTGAGAGCCCCTCAGAATTACATGGTCATCACCAGACAGTGCCAAATTTGCACAGAGACTATGGCCATGTAATGTAACTCATGCCAACATTATGCCATCTCTTCTGGAAGATGGTTTAAGTGTATGACCTGGCGTCCTTAACTCCTCATTGAGGAAGTTTTGTTTCAGATGGAAGTACTGCAGCTATATGCTCTTTGGTGGGGGAGGGGGTTAAACTTTTTATGGTGAGGAAGAAACAATGACAGGAGATAATGTAGTTCAGTGCCATAAATATATTTGCTCAATCCTTCTGATTTTTTGTTCCTCCCTCCCCATTTGAATGCTGATGTGCCTTTGTCAACTTCATGTTATTTATTTAGAAAACGTAAAGGTTGTTTACAGCCATGTGTTGTGCACCAGGACTGACATATTTCTTGCGTATGTTTAAAACAGATTTGTTCCATTTTATCATGTTGTCCTGTAAGAAGCATCTACACATTCTCTTTGAACCCTTTTGCTTCACCTGTGAAACTCTCCTAAGATGGTGTGAACCATCACTGATTCTGACAGGGGAAGGGAATAGCTCAAAGACTATGTTTTAAATAATGACTGTTGCCCCACAGACAACTAGAAATACAGAATATATGTATAGGGTAACTGATAGGTCTTAGTTTCTGTGTTTGTAAGGCAGATGTAAGACAAGTCTGTGATTCAGTGTATAGTGAGTCAGTATCACAGACAATAATTTCTTTTATATAAAAGCTAGAATCATATTGTTTAATAAATAGCAATAGTTGATTTCAAAGCAGTCTTTGTTCTGTCCCTTTCTGAACTCCAGCATATTTCTTCAAAGGAAAGCTTTGCCCCAGTGAGCTTCTGCCAATGTCAATAGCAGCTGAATCCCAAACTAAGTGTCTTCCTTTGCAAATGCCTCCTCAAACCTGTTCCTCTTTTCCAATATCTTGACAGGTCTGTGTAAAAACTGTTAAAATAGTACTAATCGCAATCAACACTTACAAAATTGGTAAATGAATTGTTAATCTTTGTTGTCATTTTCACTTAACTAAGACTAAAATAATGTGAAATGTGATATTCACTGGTCTTTTCCATCTCTGGGTCTTCCTGTATATGTGATAGTGATCTGTTATTAGCTTATTTTCACGGGACTCTCGGTGCTCTAGTAATCAAAGTGAGGAGATGATTTTGGACAAAAGAAAACGTAACTTTACTTACATAGTTCATTTTCTTAATCCATCATGAATTAGAAGATCGGTTTACAGGTAGTGATAAATGGATCTCTTAACACCTTCCTGGTGTCTCTGTTTTTTTTGTTGCTTTTTTTTTCCCCCCTCTGGAGCTCACCTTTATCTTCACCACTAAAAATAATAAGCTTTTATCACACCACTGCAAAGACATTAAAACCCAGAAACAGCTGTCTCAGACTCCACGGAGCAGTGCTGTTTCAAAATTATTAAAAAAAAAAAAAAAAAAGAGAGGGGTGGGCAGGCGGGGAGACCCCAACATCTAATCTAAATAATCCTTTCTAAATTTATAATGTGAAATTTAGATGGAACTTTCTTCATTACAGAGATCACAGATTTTCCAAGCCTAAAAGTGGTGCAATGTGTCACACAATTTATGGATCCTAGTACCTGCCATAAAGTATTTTATGATGGCTGCATTCTGTGTTATTAGTAGCTGTCTTTTTCTGCAGCCATTTGTGTTTGATAATAGTCTTAAAACACCCAAAATTACTTACCTGCAAGCAACATTCCAGATAGTCCCTGTTGACAGTTTGAATAAGTTTAGTGCCCTATTGTTGTACTTTACCTTCAAAACAAACTGATTGAACCATCAATAGCTCCTGAAAGCTGACAGAGGCATGTCATCTGGTCTAACCCTCTGATAGTAGGTTATCTGTGGGAGTTAACCTCCCTGCATTGTTAACTGAAATGTTTTATGTACTACGCAACTTTAGGATACTGCTGTGATAACCTTAGTAACTAAGTCATACATCACAGTAAAGGGATTTTGTGCAACAAATAACCCTGGATTAAATTTACAAGGGTTGAATTGATACTGTAAAGTATTCATTCCAGAGCTTTGGTAATCCTTTCCTGTATTTTTTTATGGCAAACTTGTGTTATATTTAGATTGAAGCTGCATCTTCATATTTTTAGCTAAAATATATCCAGGAAGCCTGATGTTTTTCTGAAGCCTTTTAAAAAAGAAGTATTTTCTTATTTGAATATAATATAGATCCTTTTTATCCCACATTTAGTAAAAGGAACATGAATAAATGGCATTATATTTTGAATTAACTTTTATAAGAAGAAATCACTGATATACCTTTGTTCTACTGATGGGATAACCTTTACGGTACTTACTTTTCATTATTTACACTCTTTAAGGGATACAAGTTGTTTTTTGGTTGGTTTTTTTAAATTTTTTTTAATAATAAAAAAAAACCCGAAACCTGTGACTGGTGGTGTATTTTTCTGTTTAGTTTACATGGGTAGGGCTTTTTTGGTTTTGAAATTGGCAAGTGCTGGTGCTAATTATGTTTTTTGAAGTGTAGTCAAGATAGTTTAAAAATACAAAATTACATTTATCTCAAGGAATGTTATTATAATTTTAAGCTCTTTTGAAATGATTGAGACTGACATTAAGGCTGTGATCCAAAGTCAGCAGAGATGACAGTGCTGTATTAGTCTGTTGTCATTTTTGCTGCAGCTAGCTTTTCAGTGGCATATTTCATTCCATCATTAAGCAGTTGCTGATTTTTCTAATATCAATGTTTTCTTCACTTGAATATTCATCTTTTCTCACCCTACGCTTAGTGGGTGTCTTTACTCATTTTTAGCTTCACTCTTGACATATTGTTTCCTTTTGTACATTTCTTCATTTGAAAGAATCTGTTGTCAACAGAGCTTTTCTGCCAATAATGCAAGATGGATAGCTGCTCCTCCAGTGAAAGACAAGGGTCAGCAAAATGCCAGGAAGGACTGGAAGGGCAGGCACGAAAGCTGGGAGGAGTCTGAGAATGTGTCAGTCTCAATCTGTAGCTGTTGCTTAATAAATAATCTTAGGACATGTTCTGTTTTGTGAAGTGACTCTTCTAATATCACTGTAAGTCATAGATTGAGGATTCACATCTAAATTATCTGAGCATTTCAGTACTGAGCATTTTCAGTTCACTTGTTAACAATTTGCGAAGCTGTTGCCTCAGAGGAAAGGTGTACATGACAGGTTTATTTGCAGCATTAAGTTTTGCTTGGTTGTGTCAAAGGGGAGTCTTACAGTCTTCTTCACATGTTTATCTGGTCTTGAGAACGCTATTTCAAGGTAAATCCTACCTTTTTTTTTTTTTTTTTTCACAATGTGTTGTTTTGCAGAGTTTTCTGCTACTTCGATTTCTTCCTCCCTGGGCTAGAAGGGATTGGTATGATCAGGAGCCTGCTTGACTGACTGGAGTCCTATGTAAAGCAGCTAGGCATGAGAAACATTATCAATCACCTTTCTACTCCCTACCAGGAAAAGTCTGGCACTTTTCTCACCTTGTAACATCTGCTTCATGTTTGGTTGACTAAATGTAAATATCATGTATTTGAGGTGGTTAGATATTTTTATTTGCCATGGTTATGTGCCTTGTTTTGTTTCTGATCTGCCATGTTCCCCCCTTCTGCAAGCAAGGAGCCAACGAGGCTATTTTTTGAGGCTACAAAGCCACAATATTTTGAATAAAAAGGATAAATAAAATATAGTATTGATCGATCCTAGCAAGAACTTTGAATTCTTAAAATATTTTTCATAAAGATAGTATCTGACTGTGCACTTCTGTAATTAACTCTCAGCTGTGATCCATATGCCATAAGGACACCTTTTCTGTCTAGCAGGACCAAAGTGGAATTCTCCTTCCAAATGACACCTGTTTCACAATGTAGTCCTGGAAAGCAGAAATCAGGAATAAATCTCCTTGCTTTCTCTTGATTTTTTTTTTTTTATTATTATTTTTTTAATGTTAAAGGTTTTGACACTGACACACTCCTTTCAAGACATAGGATGATGTTTTAGGATGTGTGGTAGAAGACAAATTAGACTCCTTCCTGATTTGCAGTTCATGTGTCTTTAGTGTTGCTGGTCATTGTGTTTTTAGAAAAATAAAATAAAAATCTGAAGATGTGATGGCAAATGCATGTTTTCTGAGAATTCTTTTGGATAACATAGCTGGCAGTTTACTGTTTTCTTTTATGGGCTTTCCCCTGAAATTTAGGATGAAATCTTTGTAATAATTCAAAAGAATTTCCCATTTATTCTATTTCAGAGTATACCTTACACTACACTAATACCTACTGAGAACATATATGCCCATGGCAATGATTTTCCTAAATGTATGATCCACACAGTATTAAATTGCTATGGGCAGCTTATAATAAACTTTATTTAAGAGTAAAGTTAGTATACTAACTTTTTACATAAGCTACGATGCATAAAAAAAAGTGAACAGAGGGACAAAACGAAGGCTGTTGCTATTTATTTGTTGTTATTTTTTAGTATCTTAGTCTGCATGTCTTTGTTAATTAGTGGATTTTAACTGTGTGCTTTTTGCTATCTGTCAGATATTTTGTCCTGCACAAATTAACAAACCTGAAATTTCTCGATACTCGGAAAGTAACAAGGAGGGAGAGAGAGGAAGCCTTGGTCAGAGGTGCCTTCATGAAAGTGGTTAAGCCCAAGGATGCAAAGGTAGGAGAGTAAATGGAAAAAAGTGTTAACACTATTTAAAAATAACTCCGAAATCTTGGTTGTATCCTTTGCTAAGTAACAAAAAAAGGCTTTCAAAGGATAGGACTGGTAAGTGTGCTCAGGTGAGAGACAAAAGGCTTCATGATTTTTTAGTGTTTTAGTATTGAACTTTACCATTACATCTGGTTAATCAACTGTGGTTATCTTATCAAATTTCTGGTTTCCAACCTCTGTTTCATATAACAAAGTAACTAATATGTGTCATTGACCTTAAATGAATACTTTTATAATTTCTAGAGATATTTAACCACTGTGTGATATGCTTTTGTGAACGAATGCTGTTTTTCAAACAAGGTGTCTCCTGCTTTCTATGCAAAACATGAATGTCTATTGCCGAGCTCACACCTATGGAATTTATAGGTTTTTAGTGGACCAGCTGATTCTAATTTTGTATGATAGTACTTAATATGGTGTCCTGCTAGTAAGCATTGACAACATCAGAGAGAAAGTTTCTGAGCTTTTGATACAACTTGCATCCACTCTGGGCATACTGCATACTGCTGATATGAATGTGAATTCTCCACTCTACCTTCTTTTTCCATTGTTTATCATTACATGATAACAGCAATCGGAGCTTCAGAATTTTTTTAGTGCTGCAGATCTTGCTTAAAACTCAAGTTTTCAATCTACTTGCATTCTGTTTGCTGTTTTGTTCTCTAAAGTATACCATCAATAATTTATTGTGGATTTCCAATAATGCTGAATAATAGTGTAGGAGTTATGGAAATGCAGTTTGGTAGTGTAACAGTGTTGCTGGATAAATGCGTTATCGCAAGAACAATTGCAGTGCATAACAAATTAATTCAAACTGATTTGTTTCTAACTGCTAAAATGTTAACAATTCTGATAGAAGCATAGCTTTGATATATTGTTTACCACTGCCTTTAGTTATTTCAACTTCTTATATGTAACAAAAGAAATAATTTGTTTTTAAGCTGTTGCGGATACCTTTTTCACAGCAAGTAATCTTTGCTGAACCTGGCCAGCTGAAATGTGTTATACAGAGCATACATATATCATATGTCATCTTCTTTTATAATTCTTATCTAATCAGATTTTGGGCCTGGTGAAATGTTTTGTTTCTTTATTTTTAAATTGTTAGCAATGAGATTTTTCATTTCAGAATCACATGTTTGAAATATAACCAACTTAGTAGTGTAAGAGAAGAAAAAGGTATCTGTTGCTTAAATTTAAGTTCCTTTTTCTTGATAAAACCTCATTTCAAGTCAATAGATAAAGTTAAATTACTTCACAAATCCAGGGATAACATCTGTATCTTTTATATCTGTAATCGAACCTTTTGTATAGTTTTGACTTATTTACTCTCTAAGTCTTATGATAAAATATACATATATTTCAGCAAATTTGCAGAAAGCTCAAATTTACTCTTTTTATTGCCATGTTGGAGAGGTTTTTTTCCTCTTTATAAACGGTTTGGTATATGCTTTTCATGGCATGAATTAATGTTTCTTAAGGTGATGCATAGTTATCCTCATCATACATATTATGTACATATTACAGAAGTGTCTTATTTAAAATAAATAATAAATGGGACCATTTTATGGTATATTTACATGGAAACTGTCTCAGAACATTCTCAGAATCTTCTCTGCATATATGTTTTCAGATGCAGATACCTATGTGTTTACTTACTTTGAGCTATACACAAAGACCATAGCAAGCAGCATTCCTCTATCATGGAGATGATGTGCACAGTAACTATACTTTCAAATTGTATAATATCTTATATATTGATATGTAATGATTTTTTTATTCTTTAGCCTTCACATTCCCTGAATCTTGTGCTCTCTGTCTCTTCATCAGGTCCTCTCCCATACAGCTGTTGAGATTTTAGACCAGCTTCAGCCAAATTTAACAGAGAGCTAGTGGTAATGTAGGCTTTCTGAAACTAGCTAGAAGAGAATACTCCTTGATGCAGACTAAGAGAAAGATTGCAACAGATTTAGTACTGATCATCCAAAAACCTCCTTAAGAAGTTGACTTAGTGATTTAAGATCCTGCTCATAATGAACTTCCTAAGAATGTTTTGGTTTTTTCCTTCCCTCTAAAGTAGTAGCCACTGTGTCATCCTGTGTTTGGCAGGAATCGAGTTGGTAGATGCCACATGGAAATGTTTTTCTGCCAGATATAGTGACAACATGAAGCCTATCAGACTCACTTTTTCAGAAAACAAAAACACATAAAAACCCCCAAACAACCCAAAAAATCCCAAGTTAGGTGTTTGGTTTTTTTTGTTTTTTTTTTTTCCCATTATAATAAACAGGAAATAGTATGGTTCATTCAGCATAAAAAGCAGACTGATGATCTAAAGTGTCTGTGATGTGGGGAGTTGTTTTCAGTTTAGACTTGACATGAAATACTTGGGAGAGCAAAATACTCCACCAAGAAAAAATAGACAAAATGAGAATAAAAGGAAGAAATTTCCATCTGACTAGCTTATGTTTACTCAAATGCAAAAGTATCTAGCAATCACCAGTCATCACTAAGTCATAAATATTTTATTTTGTATAAATCTTTTTACTTTCATTTTCCCCTGTTTTTTCATTTTTGTTAACACAACATTGCACTTTCTTGTGCTTTGCTTCATTTAATCCTTTGTGTAAAATGCATCTGTTTTTGATATGACTGTCTTATGGAAAGATGCAGTCATTTATTAGAAAACAGTTTAATGTTACAATGCAGTGTTCCATCTCACTATGTGAGCTAAACTTAATTATTTTATGGTGTTTATGTTTTCTTTTGTCAAAAAATTGAACAGTGTATCATGCCTGATTTTAATAGAGATTGGGTAAGCCTCACTGGATAAGAGGCATTGAGCCAGATGAGAAAGACTTGTTTAATGACCAGACCATGACCTTATTTCACTGGCATAAGTGCAGATCAAAGTGGAAGATGCCTGTTCAGTGTGAAGTGTGTTTCTGGGCATGACAGCACTTCACATCAGAAAGACAGCTCAAGAATACAACAGTCAAAATTGCTTAATTGTATCCCAGGTTTGAAATTATTCATCCTTGGCTCTACAGAGAGTACAGTTGACATAATTATTTAAAACTGTACCCTTTTTCATTTATACGTATATGAATGTACTTCCAACGGTTTCATTTCTTAAACTTAGAGAAGCAAAGCAGAATGTGATTTGAGAATACATTTTAAGACTCCATATTTTTATGTTGCATGTGATATAAACAAAGTGAAATTATGATATCCCAGTGTTTTGAAAACTCTCTGCTGAACAGCTGTTTTTTAGCTTACTGCATTTTTAAGGTTAACATTTTAATGAGTTGTATTTATAGTCGCAAAAGCTGACAGTGTGCGTTTGGTCACACGTAACAGTCTTGCACCTTATAGGACCAAATCATCAGTGGATATCCATGGGAATACTTCCCAGTAACTGAATTAATATTATGTGGAGTTATTCTGCTTTCTTGCAGCTTCACCAAGAGCGTCTTGTCCGTTGGGCATAAAGTAAACTCTATGTAACAAAAGATGGCAATGCAGGTGCTTTGAATTTTTTCCCCATCTGATGCATTGTTTTCATAACAAGTTATAGTTATAACACCTGACATAGCATTTGTTTTTTAAGGAGCTAAGATGAAGACACTTAAGAAGAAAGGCAACTTTAATATCTGTGTTTCATGTAATGAGTGTATGTGATTCTTGTTCACCCTGCTGTCTGGAGGGTGGAAGGCGATTATTTTATTATGGTAGGAAGAGTAAAAGAGCTTAAGAAATAAAATCTGCTTTGTATGCTTTCAGATCGTTGTTAGTATTCTTGAGTTTAAGCTCACAGGAAAAGCTCGTTATCACAGGGACCAATGCTGATACTTGCTTTTTCAAGTCCTATTAAAACTAAATGAGGTGTAAGGAGTCATTTTTAGTGATTTTTGTCCTTAACTGTTTAACAAGAATGATATTTTTTGTAAAATAAATATATTCTATCTGCTTCCAAGAATTTAGGCTAGTACTTTTTGGTAATGCATCTCATGGACTTTCTCCCCACCCCCCCCCATATCAAGTAAATGGGGCTAGTTTTTAAAATTAAATAAAAGGTGACAAACCTTTGGAGAATATCTGCATTGTTATATATATATTTTTTTTTACTTTTACCAGCACAGTTTTGTAGACATCTTGGCTTCTGAGTTCACAGCATTTGAGTAGATGTAGACCACAGGGCTTTTAAAGCGTAAAGAAACATTGTGTCAATGAACTGCTAGCTCTAAGATACCTCTTTGAGAGGGCTTCTATATAACAGTGTTCCTTATTGTTCAGATCTCAAGGTTTCACATACTCAATCAGAATTACATCATGAATGTAAGACTCCATCCTAGACTGCGATTAAATAAATAATACTGACTTGAAAGTCATTGTAGCTACATGCTACTGTTTGGCACACTGAAGTATCAGTTTTGCTCTTCGGAAAGTTTGTTGTAAGCAAGAGTCCATAGCATCATTGGCTCATAATCCCCTAATGACTCATCAAAATTAATAATAAAGAATAATTGAAAAAAAAAATATTGTAGGAACAAAAAATCAATTCCCAAAATGTATCTTTATTTAGTGTTGAGAGATAAAATCTGCTATTACATCTCATGTTGTTTGCAGAGTAAATTAGTGACGTGAGGTTTTAAGAAATCTAATTATTATAGCTGTGCAAGTGATAAGAGGCTTAAGGGTCTGACTGAAATGTTATATACTAGACTAATGAGCAGAAAGCTGGTTGTTCATCAAATGGCTAATGAAGTTCTATAGAAAACTTTTGAGAGACTGTAGAATTATATGTAAACCTGCAAACATAAAGTTACAGTATATAAGGATACAAGTCAAGAAGCAGTGCTGCTGTAGTTTGAGTCATGCCTAATATATAGTCTTTAGATGAAATAATTCAGTAATTAGCAATATGTGGTAGCTTCTCTTACATT